GTAGAAGCTGAAAAGTCCCAAGTCTGTGGGTCAGGCATCAGGCTAGTGGCTTCTCCTGACTCACATAGTTGCAGGGGCTGACTAACCCAAGATCCATGGGTAAGATGGCCGGTTGCTGGCTCAAGTCCCAAGAACTGGAGTTCAGATGTTGATGAGCTGAATGCAGGATCCAGAGCAGAGCAAAAGCCAGCAAGCTTTGTCAGAAAGTCCATATATTTTGGATGCAAGCTATACCCCCACAGAAACTCCCTTTCAACTGATTGGCTCCCCATAGTAAATCTCATCATGCAGGAGATTACATTGTTTCAGATCTCTTCATGGAGGTGATTACATCATTTTTTAAGTGACAAACTACATCGTAACTGCCAAACACTGAGACTCATGGCCCAGCCAAGTTGACACCCAACCTTAACCATCACGATACTACAGTATGCATTTCCAACAGATAAGAATTGTTTGTTGAAAATGTAAGTACAGTACTATTATTGCAGTCAACAAAATATAACAGTAATTCCTTAATGCCTTAATACCTGGTTTATTTTGAATTTTTTCTATTTGTCTGAAACATGTCATTTTACAGTTCAATCCCTACACTCTTTCAGCAATAAGAAGCATGAGAGATAGGAGCATCTGGAATTCAACAAGGTGAATTCTCCCTCTCCCTCCCTTTTCTCTTTATCTATTGCTGATCTCTGTTAATAGCTGTAACTTCCACACCTAGTTACAAACTGAAACACTGAGTCCTCCTTGCCTCTTTGTTCTTTTCATTTCCCCATCCATCATTAGCTATTGAGTCCTTTCAGTTCTGCCTTGAGAGGTATACCCCTTTGTTCTTCTCCTCCATTCATCTCTACTCCTGTGCTACCCAGTTTCATCTCTTACACATTTTAGTTTACCCTTCACCCTGCCTTTTGAGTTGTTCCCTGAGTTAAGAATGATTATGCTACTCACCTACTAAAAAGTACCATTTCCTATTGCCTACGTCTGACTCTGCCCAAACTCAATAATTAATAATGTGGATTCCTCCCTTTTAGGTGTTAGTCCTGGCTGTTTCTTGGTTCCTTGGCTTGTAGACAATCCTCACATGGCATATTCCCACCATGTGTATGTGTTTATTCTACTTTTTAAAAATAACTCAGAAGTGATTAGGTTTAGGACTCACTCTATTGTGGCATGACCTCAACTGACTGACTGATTCCATTACGTTAGAATGCCTTGGAAGGTGATTATATTACATGACATGACATGATATGTGAGGTAATTACATTAGTTTACATCCACGGGTATAGGGATTAGGACTTTAACAGTTATTTTGGGTTGGGGGGGCATAATTCAATCCATAAGAATTACTCGTTAGCTTTAGAAGGAGATTTAATTCAGATAGCTTTTCTAATTTTACCGAGTTGCCTCCTGTTCTGTTTTTATGTATTTATTCTCCTGGCTCCCTCTGTACTGGATCATCCCTGTTAAATACCACAAGTGATTGGCTTTAACAAACAAGTTTATTCTCTCACAGTCTACGAGGCTAGAAGTCTGAATTCAGGGTGGTAGCTCCCGGAAAAGGCTATCTCGGTCAGTTCCAGGGGAAGGTCATTGTCACCGATCTTCCTCTGGTCTAGGAGCTTCTCGGCACAGGGACCCTGGGTCCAAAGGACATGCTCTGCTTCCGGCACTTTTTTGCTCATTCAGAACAAGGCCAGGGGCTGACTGAGGAACAGACTATCAATTGCTCATACGTAAGTTCAAGTTGAAACTGAAGAAAATTAGAACAAGTTCATGAGAGCCAAAGTACGACTTTGTGTTATATCCCACCTGAATTTAGAGACCATCTCAAGAATAGATTTGACACATTGAAGGCCACTGGGTAGAATTTTTAAAAGCCTCTGTGGTACAGTGAGTTCCTTTATGTGGCCTTTTGCCCTGGTTCTTTGGAAGAACAGCTTGGGCGATCTCCCCCTAAGCCCTGAGGAGTTGTTACCTTTGCCCTCATTCTTCAGAGAAGCAACTTGGTGGAAAGGGACTCCCAGCTAATTTTCTACCCCATGGTATTTGGGATTTGTTACTTCTGCCCAGGGGATTCCCCGTGTTGATTGACATTTCCTGGATAAGCTGTAAACAGCTTCTTGGTTTGAGACTTTTGTCTGACCTGGGCTGGTAATTAACAAGACTTGAGTTGATTGACATCTCATGAGTAATTGAGGATTGGTTGAACTCTGGTCTGGTGAGGGAGATCCTGCCTTGTAACTGATGAGGTTTAGGATATATAAGTGGCTGAAGAGCAGAGGTTTTTGAGGCCTCCTGGTAGAGAGAGATCGTTGCTGGTTGAAAGCTAAGCTGGCCATGCATCAGAGCAAAGTGGGAGCTGAGTGGACCTGAAAATACTACAGGGCTATGAGCTGGGCCAGTTAGCAGCAGAGAGCAGCTAAGAGAGCTGAGCAAGCTGCTGCACTGGCTGTGAGGTGGGCCATTTAGCTGCAGAAACGCCCCAGTGGCCAAGAGCCTCTGACAGCACAACTGTCTGAGGTCCTGATGGAGAACTGCACCAGTAGAGAGCATTTTTGCTTCAGGGATTATCGTGCAGGAAAGCTGTCCTGATTGGTCAACTGCATCCTGAGTTGTATGTATCCTGTTGCTTTCAAGTTGCATCCTCTTCTGAGTTGTCTCCTGAGTTGTATCCCAATAAACCACTTACCTGTAAGTACAATTCAGGGGTCCTGTGAAATGCTGCAGCTAATTGCTGAACCCAACAGGAGAAAAGTGCTGAGGGGAAGCGGCGTGGCTAGTGTCAGAGATAATGGACTGGCACAGCAGCTTGGAGAAGTTGGAAATCTGGGATATATTTAACCTCTGCCTCATAGGAACCAGCTTTGTGCTGATTTTTATTCATGAAATTATTCGTTTACTGTGTATGGTTCTTCATCTTTCATTTCCTTGTTCTACTCCATACCTCTGCCATTGCCACTGGCCATGTTCCACATAGAGGCTGGACTGTTGACCTCAGCCCTGGAGTGAAGATGACTTTGAGCACATTTACAGTTAACACATGATGGACTGGGAGCCTGAGTGAGAAACAAACATTTATTACTTTGAAGTTACTGAGAATTTGAGAGGATGTTTCTTCCCACAGAATAACACAGCCCATTCTAAATAATATGGACCATTTCCTCCACTTCACTCTGAGGGTCTTTCTTCTTTAGGGTGAGTTTTGAACCTCTGTGGACATCTGGTCACTTTGCTGTTTTGTGTTGTCGTTTTTTCAGTGGATATTGTTTTAGGCATTGGTGAAGAAAAGGGGCTTTGGAATAAGAATTTCGCGTTCTAGTCTTGGCACCAGCACTTGATAGCTATACAGTCTTAGGGACAAATAAACCAGCTTCTTAACATCTCAGTTTTCTCCTCTGTGAGATGGAAATAAAGCAGTGTCTACATCTTGGCTCTGTTGTGAAGATTAATGGAACTCTGTTTAGTACAGTACCTGCCTTATAAATGTTAGCAACTGATACTGGTACTTTTAGGAGGAGGAGAGCTAAGTTGTGCTTCAGTAACACATGACCCCAGAAACTCACAGTCGTCTAACCTTAAAACCAACCGTATTCCTCATCCTTCGTAGGTTGATTTTGGCTCTACACTGTGACCTTTTACAGCAGAACCAAGGCTGAAGGAGAGCCCTCCCTTTTGGGAACATGTTTCTCTCATGGCAGAGGAAAAAGAACAAAAGAGGGTGGAGTCATGCAGTGCTTAGAAATCTCACTGTCACTTTCACTCACATGCATTGCCCAAGGCAAGTCACAGGTCAAGCTTGATGTCAGGAGCAAGGAAGTATAATCCATTTATTGAGAAGCAGATAGTAGGGAAAAATGAAAAAATCTGCCACAAAGGCCTATTTTATCCTAATCACTAAAATTAGCAAAATGAACAAGATGCATTTCTTCTTACAAGAAGCTCACGTTCTAGTAAAAACAGTCATTTAAGTAGAAAAATTGCAATATACTTTGATTAAGGTGACATGTCTAGGTTGGACAGAAGAGGGAGTGAGCCCCTCTGGCTACAGTGTTGGGGGATGAGTCAGGAGAACATCTTAGGGGAACCCCAGCTAGCCTTAAAGGGGTACTAGGCAGCAGTAAGGAGTCCCTGGGCAGCGCACACGGTTAACACTCCAGGCTACTAGCTGAAATGTTGGTAGTTCGTACCCACCCAGAGGCACCTTGGAAGATAGGCCAGGCAACCTGCTTCCGAAAGGTCACAGCCTTGAAAACTACCGAGCAGTTCTACTCTGCACATATGAGGTTAACCATGAGTTGGAATCAACTCCATGGCAGCTAACAACGGCAGCAAGGCAGCAGTAGGACTGCTAAGGCTAAGGGCTAAGATCCTGGCCAGGATGTCTGAGGAGCTTCTAAACGTGGCGCAGCTCCTAACACCACCTGCCTCCTCTGGACCTCATGAGTGGAGGATTTTGACTAATAGGGTCATGTGGCATATACAACAGAAATGGGAGGTGGGGTGTTATCTTTGCAGAAGTCATTGTGAGACCTGGAGGGACTTGGTTTAGACTCCAAACACCTCAGAGTACAAGGACATAGGGAATTGAACACAGCTGGAACCCTGAGCTAGGGGAGTTATAAGCTGCTTGCTGCATGCCCTGATTGTTCTGGAGGGAGACATTAGAGGCTCTTTCTCTATAGGCATTAGGCTATATTCTGCCTTCTCTCTGACTCGTGTGGCAGAAACTGATCTGGGACACGGAGCTTGAATGTGAACTGTGGGGACAAGAGGGGTGCAGTAAATTTTGACAGGTAAGGAAGAGTGTCAGGGAACAGACTTGAGGGCTAATAGGCCAGAAGTGAATAAAGGTAGAACATCCAGAGAACCCAAGTAGACTGAGACTCTGATTGTTGAATGAGGAGGGTGTGAGAGGACAGGATCCCTGCTGAAGAGGCATGGGTTTAGAGCACACAATAAAGGATCCAGCAGCATCAAGTTGCTTCTCCATCCTACAGGTCCTGGATGCATGGAGACAAGAGGAGCTTTCATAACTGAGGTTTGAAGAAGTCACCCCTGGCAGCAGAAATCCATCTTGAGATGAAATAACTTCCATCTGGCCCTGTGGCAGAATTTCAAGGCAGTCACTGCACTGACTCTGGGGCCATTACGTTGCCTGTTCCTTCTGACTGGGGAGAGCAGGACTGGGAGAAGTTTCTGACTTCAGAGAACAGGGAAGACATGGAGACCTTGAATAAACAGACTAAAAAACATCAGGCAAAAGGTGAGAGTTGTTGAGGGTCTGGAGAGGTGAAGAGGGGAACCCAGGCTCCAGGTTCAGGTGAGAATGCTTCAGTGGCCACAGCTGAGTAAAGTGGCCACTGCCTTCCATCCCATGGCTCAGAAGAGCTACTCTGTGAGCATTATGGGAGGTCTGCTTTCTCTCAGCTTCTCTTTCTTCTGTTAGGTTTGTCTTCTAAGGATACTGACTGGCCGCAAGAGAAGAGCAAGCCCAAAATACTGGTGAGTTGGAATTACCTTATTTTTCTGAAATCTTGGCTCATTTCCCAGAGAACAGGCAAATATTCCCTGTCTCGGGAAGGGAGAAGGCAATCAGCATTTAGGCATTTCATGCCTTCGTGTCAGAGACTATGTTAGGCATTTTAGAATGGTTTCTACATTTTTGCATTTTATTTTTCTTGTTGGAAAATATATTCAAGATTAATATTAAGAATCCAGGAAACTGATAAGGAATATTTTTGAAAAACTGTCATTATTAAATTTTTTTAATGTACTGTTAAATTTCACTAGACATCCATATATGTACTATCAAATGATACCTCGTGTACTGAGCATCTTTTTCCTTTTTATCATTGACCTTTTTAAACAAAGAATTAGTGAGCGTAGTAAAAATAGATTCTCAGGTACCATATCATACCATAATAATCATATCTAGTGACCAGTCTTATTTACAGGAATATGATATTGTGTCAGTAAATCTCAAATATAAAATATGAAAATACCTACTTTTCCACTCCAGTTCTGTCACCAGCTGCCCACACAGCACTTCCTTCTCTGGCGTTAGTCACCTGGAGCTAGGTCACATCTCACAAGTGAAAAGAATACTGTTCTTCAGACTGCTGAATAGGTAGATTCTAGCCGCAAGTTTGAATCCACATGACACCCTCATTTCTGACCTGCTGGATACAATTTGGGGTTTCCATTATCCCTTTGGGATGCCAGTCACAAGCTTGGGAGCCCCCTCATGCTCCCTCACTTCTGACCAGCTGTCTCCCACTACTCCTTTTGTTTTGATAATTTGCTGGAACGACTCCCAGAATTCACAAAAAGTGCTGTATTTATGATTAGAGCTTTATTATAGTAAAAAAAGGATATAAATAAAGAGATGTATAGGGCAAGGTCTGGGCGGGTTCCCAGAGCAGAGCTTCCATGTCGCAAAAAGGGATGCACTGCCATTCCACATGCATTGACGTGTTTCACCAGGAAGCCCATGGAGCTTCAGTGTCCAGAGCTTTTGTTGACTTCCTTAGCCACAATTGATTGGGTCAGCCACCTTCCCTCCACTGAGGTCAGTTGGACTTTGCAAGAAGTGATGTGATTCATTACTGATCTTGATGTGCATCTATATTTATGTAGTGATCTGTGAACTGAAGAGCTAGCATGAAAGTTTGTACTTTATCAATTACAGTTAATGTACCATGGGAACTGAAATTTGAACCATTTTGTTGGGAGACTGGGCTTATTTAACTAAACCGTGGTAACTGAAATTTGTGCGTATTGGAACTGTGCAAAGTGAGGAGTTCCTGTATTTAAAGTGGGTGAAATATAAAGCAAATCAATTTTAAATTGTACCTCAATAAAGTATAGGAGTCCTGGTGATGCGGTGGTTAAGCACTTGGCTGTTAACCAAAAGGTTGGTGGTTTGAAAACACCAGCCACTCGGTGAGACAAAGATATAGCAGTCTGCTTCTGTAAAGATTACAACCTTGGAAACACTATGGAGCAATTCTGCTCTGTTGCATAGAGTTGCTATGAGTCGGAATCATCTCAACAGCAGCAGGTTAAAGTGTTTGTTTTTGTTTTTAAACATTATCTGTAAATGACCTTTTTCTGCAATATCACTGCCATTCTCTTGCCAGCTGTTTTGCATAGACGAGGCACTACTCTATATGATGAGTGAAGTGTTAAGGACTTCATTAGAAAATCTTATTAAAGTATATAAACCAAGATAGTGAATTTACAGAACCCATTTAAATACCTGAACTCTTCAGAAATGCTCATTCCAGACCCCTTCTGTTTGCTCCCTCTTTTCTCTATGGTTGAAGTTTCCTTCCATCTTCTCCTTCCAATCTTCACCATCCCTTAATGCCTAGCAAAAGCCCCACCTCCGTGATGCCTTTCGTTCTTTTCTAGCCCATCCTCTACTCTTCCATCTTTGAATTCCTCCGTTATGAATTCTCAAAGTCACTTGATATTGCTTACTGCTTTCAAACTGATTCAGAAATCATTTCTCCAATGAAGTCATACATGTGTCAGGGCCAGGATCTATTTTATGCATCACTTGTGCTCCCCACAGATTGTATCACAAATTCAGGTATACAGTCATGTCCAGAAGAACTTGATGTGGAGAACTGTTCTCTCTGAAAAGAATTAGATGAATTTCTTCTGATCCAGACTCTTTAGTACCAAATTGATGATGATTTGCTGTGCATTGATTTATTGCTTATTCTAGGAACCAGTTACATTTGAGGATGTCACTGTGGTCTTCACAGAGGCAGAATGGAAGAGACTGAGCTCTGAGCAGAAGAACCTATACAAAGAAGTGATGGTGGAGATTTACAGGAATCTCCTCTCTTTGGGTGAGGATGTGCTCTTTTCTTTTCCTTCATTAATTCAGTAGACATTTATTGGCCACCTACTAGGTGCCAAGAAGCCCTTGTGGCACAGTGGTTAAGCACTCAGCTGCTAACCGATAGCTTGGCAATTTGAACCTGCCAGTCACTCCTCAGGAGAAAGATGTGGCGGTCTCCTTCTGTATAGATTTATGACCTTGGAAACCCTATGAATTCTACTGTGTCCTATGAAGTCGCTGTGAGTTGGAATCGACTTGGTGGCAACAGGTTTTTTTGGTTTTCTATGTGCCAAAGGCTCTTGGGTGGTACAAACAGTTTGTGCTCAACTATTAACCTAAAGGTTGGTTGTTTGAACCCATCCAACGGCACCAGAGAAGAAAGGCCTGGTGATCTGCTTCCATAAAGATTACAGCCAATAAGACCCTATGGACCAAATAAAATAAATAACACAACAAAAGCAAAAAATGAACTCTGTGGAGGAATTCTACTCTGTTACACATGGGTTGACCATGAGTTAGAATCTACTTGATGGCAACAGGTTTGGTTTTTGTTTTGTTTCATTTTCACTTTGTGCCAGATAATGTCCAGATACTCAGAACACGTAAGTAAATGCAATAGTTAGAAATCTTGCCCTTGCTGGGCTTACCTTTGAGTATAAGCAGACAATGAATGGTAAATTTATATACAGAGACATTATAAAGTGAAAAACTAGTAATAAAATAAAGTGAGAGAAAGGGGAATTGGGTATGACAGGGTGGCTGGCGGAATTTTGAAACTGAGTATTTGAAATCAGCGAGAAGGTAACATTTGACCAAAGACATGAAGTGGTGAGGGAGTTAGAACTCTAGGTACCCAGGATAAGAGCATTTCAGATGGAGGGAGTTGTCGTTGGTGCTAAGGCTTTAAGGAAGTGATGTGTCTGCCAAGTGTGAGGAACTGTAAGGAGGCCAGTGAAGTTGGGGGCACAGTTTGCAAAGGGGAGAGTCATGAGAGATGCCTTCTGCAACAGAAGTTAAAATTAAATGCCAAATTTTTTATGGCTTTTGGATTTCATAAACTACTTTTTCTTTTTTCATTTATTAAAATATTTACAATGATTCTTAAATCTGGGTTGATAAATATTATCAGTTGCAACATTATTCTAGATCAGGAGTTGGCCAACTTTTTCTGTAAAGCGCCAGATGGTAACTATTCAGGTTTGCAGCTCTGTAGTCTCTGTCGCAACTCTCAGTTCTGCTGTTACAGTGCAGAAGCAGTCATCAGTAACACATAAACAAACAGGCGTGGCTGTGTCGCAGTAAAACTTTAGTTATGGACACTGGAATTTGAATTTTATATACTTTTCATATATTATGAAATACGATTCTTTTGATTTTTTTCCTAAACATTTAAAAATGTAAAAACTATTCTTAGATTGCATGCTGTGCAAAAACAGGCAGAGGGCTGGATTTGGCCTCTGGGCCGTCGTTTTCCCATCTGTTGTTCTAGATCAACATTGGCCACTAGAAGTGTAATGTGAGCCACATAGCCACGTTAAAAAAAGAAAAACTAAACTCATAATTTCCTGGTGTTATCATTCTCATGCCAACCTCCAAAGACGCAGGTCAGATTTATAAAGATACTGATCGTAAAAGGCAATAATGATGAAAACTTTTTAAAAAGCGAGGTATTCGACTTACATCAGAATCGACTTAAGTCGTTGAAGCAGAGCCCCGTCATAAGTCGGGGACGGCCTGTATAGATTTATCCATTTGAATCTGGCTTCGTGTGTTTTGATTTGGCCAAACCCATTGCCCTCAAGTCAATTCTGACTCATAGCAACCCTATAGGACAGCATAGAACTGCCCCATAAGGCTTCCAAGGCTATAATCGTTACGGAAGCAGACTGCCACATCTTCCTGCTGAGGAGATACTTCTGGGTTCAAACCACTGACCTTTTAGTTAGCAGCCGAGTGCTTAACCACAGTGCCACCAGGGCTCTTTCTTGATTTGGGTATAGCTAGTCAGTGTAATTAGATTTGGTTTTTATTTTTCTCTGGTCGTAGTATTATCTTTCTCTATATTAATACATTTTACTGGTTCAGATGAAAATACGAAAGTTACCCAGTTCAAATTAATCTTGTTATTGAAAGCCTGGATCCCTGGATCCAATTACATTTCTTGAAATGTTTTCCGTTATCTTGTTCAACACCACAGTATTCTGAGTTCTCTAATGTATATGTCTCTCTTTTGGATTTTTCTCTTATTTCTTTCTCTTTTCTTCAGACTGTTGTGGTCCATGGGACTTGGTGTCATATACTCTTTCTCTGTGTCTATATGCACATCCTTAAACAACTTGTGAACTTTAATGATTTTGACCATCACATTTTTTTTTTTTTATTGTACTTTAGGTGAAGGTTTACAGAACAAATATTTTCTCATTAAACAGTCAGTACACATATTGTTTTATGACATTGGTTAACAACCCCAC